TCTTATTCGTCGTCCGCCATTTTGAAACATTTGAAGGCGGGAACTGAGTGCGCATGCTCAGCGGTTTTTGGGACCTGTCTTGTCAATTGACACCTATCGAATCAAGGTATCCGCTGACCAGTATCACGTGACCATATCGCGGGCTAAAGTTTAGAGCTCATCGAGGTCACGTGTTTTTTACGTTGACCACTGACAGAGTACGTGTCAGGTTAACTTTTTGTAAACGGGGCCGGGTTATTCAGAAGCCGGTCAACGCTAACCCAGGTTTAAAAGTTAACAGAAGTATAAATATTTCTTGTATACAATGGTTCTCACTGCTTTTGTTTTGTTTATCTTGAGATTATTCAAACTCACAACAGAAGGCCAAACAATATACAGAAAGCCTCACTACAAAGTTACAAACCTCAAATCAAAATTGTCGCGTAACCTGGGCTTTCTTAATCTGGCTTTGCACAACCCGGCCCGGGAGCTCCGCTTTTAGGCTTGGCTAAATATATATATTACAACTATAACTATACTAGTAGTAATCAAAGATTGGAGCAGTGCGTTCACGCGTGTACTTTGCTTTGGTGGCGTTCGAATGGCTCGATAGAAAACCTGTAAGTTTGATCGAATGACAGATAACGATCTGCACGTGAAATCGAAGCCTGAGGYAAAAGTATTTTTAATTAATTAAGTATCAACTTATAAGTAAAGGTTTTTTAAAACAATTTGAAGTAAAAACTACGGGTAAAMGAGCGTGCATTTTATTGTTCTTAACAYCCCTTTTTTACATTTTCATACTTTACATACTTTCACTTCTTTGTTTTATATTTATATTTATGCAAAATTTTTGTCTTCACTTTTAAGCTTGATAATGACCGAAGTTCGGTCGAAACGTCGCGCTCTTTTACCCGTAGTTTTTACTTCAAAGTATTAACTTGTACTAAAAAGGCATTTGAACTGTTGGCGACGGCACAGGGTAAGATATGGACTGGACCAATGTACCCTTGGACCATTGAACTGTTAGACTATTATTTGGACCATTTTCTAGACCTGTATTTATCAAAAATTAACACTTAGGGAGGGGTGGGTAGGTATTTTCTTCATCTATGGGGGAAGGGGAGGGTGGAAAAGGTGACACGAAAATGGCCCTGAAACATTGACAGGAATGGTATATTGCGGCAATTTGAACCAACAGTCAGCCAAATGCAAAGACGAATATATAAATATCTGTATTTTAAAAATAATGGATAGAACGAGTTAAGAGTACACTGTCAAATTTTCTTTTAGATCTATTTTATATGAAGTCACCCACGTACCTTTGAAATCGACCTGTGAAGTCACGAATCATTTACCACTTGCTTACTAATTCCCTGGTATTTCCGTTGTGGATAAGACCATTTCTCTTACTGTCATCGTTTCTACTATCGCGCTATCACGCTAGCAGCCGATAGACATCACTGAATTTCCACCGC